TTCAGACATGATTAGAAATATAATGGGCAAACACAGTCAAGAATGGAACAGTTACAGTAGTTCTGTAAAATTACGCAAATCGAGCGAAAACGGGAAAATATTCTCCAAAAGGTTCATTAATTACACCTTCGTAGCGCAAAAAAATATACAAATCGAGAAAAATACCACGGTCGGTGAATGAAAACAGAAAGTCGTAAAAATATGCCAAGAACCAGAAAAACGGATTGAGCTCACCAGTTTAGAGATGGGGGACGAGCGATATCAAGATGCGCAAAGACGATCCGATCTCTAAATATCTCGTGTTTCGCGATCGCCAAGGATGAATCAGGAAGAACCACTGGTTAGTCGAGGGAAAATATATTGTTCCCTGGAAGCACCGGAGTTTAGCCTGATTACTGTTCCCTGGAAGCACCGGAGTTTAGCCTAATTATGCTCGAGAGTATCTGAAAGCGGAAAAAAGCACCGGAGTTTAGCCTGATTATGCTCGAGAGTATCTGAAAGCGGAAATGCTTAGCAAACGAAAGGTGTAGCTCTGAACTCACGGATGAATCAGGAAGAACCACTGGGTAGTCGAGGGAAAATATATTGTTCCCTGGAAGCACCGGGGTGGCTTAGCAAGCGAAAGGTGTAGCTCTAACTCACGCACCGTTTAAAGTGAGGAGTACTTCACCGGAGGTGGTAGAGACTTGAACAAAGATAAAAGACTTAGCCGAAGAAGTGGTCTCAGGATATAAAAGATCCTGGCGGATTCTATGCTACAAAGGAGAAGGATGCACGAGCGAATGCTGCAAGCAACCAATGCCTACAATCATGTGAAAGCATACAGGGGAACAGGCAGACCAAAGATGGTGACACTCTCGAGCATGTTACACTGTTGGTCTCAAGCCACTACATTAGTATCCCTTCACCACAAAATTCGGCTTCCGCAACTCCTGGGAGATCAACAACTTCCGTGTGTCTCCAATGAGAAGGATCTCAGTGTCATTGTCCAAAACGACCCAAGTTGTTGTTTAAGCTGCTCTCGGGAGTCGTCCACCGCTGTAAGATTTGTTGGCTTGCCAAAGAGAGCACATGGCCAATTTGAACCTACGCTGTTCCCACGGTTATGAGCACACAATCGGCCCACATGGGGTATGCGATTCACTCGTGGAATTCACGGCTGCAACGCGATCGGAAGATTCTAGAACTTCCACAAAGATGGCCACCAGAATGGTCAAGGGACTGCATTCCAAGAGTTACGCGGAAAGACTGGAATCACCACAACTGCACTCCGCACAATATCGCCGCATTCGAGGGGACTTGATCTTGATGCAACAAATACTGCGGAACCTAGATCACCTATTCAAATTAACTCTCCAAAAATGCCGGCCCTCAGATCGCGCTACTTGGAATTCTCTACCACTACACATTGTTTCTGCGCTTACAGTCCTTCAAGCACAAACTGGATGAAGCTTTGACAAGTCTTAAATTTCAACATCAGTAGCAGTGCACGAAACAGGGATAAATAGTAACATTCGCATACTGTCTACGAACCGTGAATCCATTCATCTGTGTTAAACCCTAAGGGACTAGAAAAGCAACCGCTTGTAAGTATTTCTTAAAATAAATTTTGACAGAACAGAAGCATGTTGACCACAGCAAACAGCCCACCACTCGTACTTAGGTTAGTCCGAAACAAACACCCGTTAGAAAACCGACTCAAAAAGAGCAAAGACAACATCCATTGGGTCATCTGATCAGAGCGTCTTACAATTGAGCCACGTTTGATGGTCAGCGTACACTGAGCGCGTCTGATATACACATATAGAAAAAGCCAGCGTTTCAGAAAACGGGATGACAGATAGCGAGCGCGGGCAAAGGGATATAACGGATATTGTGAAGTAAATCTAACAAAAATGATAAATTCAAAGAACTGAAACGGGAAATTGAAAAATAATTAGCTCAGATGAAACCATTCAGACGGCGGGTGGAAAATTAACTAGGAAAATAAAATAAGCAAGATCCAAATGGAAAATGAGACTAGAAGGAAGAATTCGGGTGGATTGGATCAAAGCACTAGAGCCTAGGTCAGTTCACCAATAGGGGTCATACGAAGCCAAAGATCGTAGGTGAATGTGTACAACTGTTCAGATAAAGACACTTTGTACGGAGTTGGATTGAGAACACGTTTGTAGTCTGGGCGTAGGGTGGCTAATTCCTGTTGTACACGTGCGCGCGCCTCAGTCAGTGTCAGTAACGGGCGTACAAGCTAGGGCGAAATAGGAAAAGAAAAATAGTACATGGTGTGTGAAAATGAAAAATAAAATGCGACAACCGTTGAATGAATAAATAGGTCCATGAATCAAACAACAGAAGCGGAAAAACAACTGCTTCAGTATATACGGAATCAAAAGTGACCGTCTTTACTACAAACGATAAAGTCGAAGCATAATATTGAATTACACGAGAGGAGAGGTTGAGGAAATTAACCCTACTGGACAGATCAGAAACTTCTGGAAAAAAAACAAATGTCTCGAAGGGAGAGATTACCGAAAGCGCATTCGAAATCGGTCACGCGTGTGCAACGGACTACTGTCAAGTCATTTTTATTTCATTTATTATTACTACTAATACACATACATAAATCTTTGGTAATGTGAATAAACTAAAGCAGTAATCGGAAACCGAAATGAGAGAGAGGAACTGTGTTTCACTGAGGTTTTTGTACCAGTTTCTACAGAATGCCACTTTGTACTTCCTAATGCCTTTGGAGAGAATGTAGCGGAATGATCAAATGTGATTTGCACAACTTGGCATTGATATACTGTGTGATGTTCAATATGTCAATATGTACCGTTCAACTATTCCAAACGATGCCTTTGTGCAAAAGCACACAAAATGAAACCCAAGGTTGAAAGTAGTTAGTCACGAGAACATAATCATAAATAACATATATATTAAGCGAGACACACCAAGTATACAACGGTTTATATGACGTAAATTCTACAGCCTGCTATTAAACAGAGAAACATCAAGCCCGGACCGTTGTTTATGTGAACGTACACCAGATCTGCCGTTCTATGTTATTCGTTCCACTGTGTGTTCGTCGGTGGTACACGATGATTTCCGGTCAATCAAGCACGGCCGATTCTCACGATTAAAGCCTTTCCTGAGGAATTCAACTGCTCACATTTTGTTTTAATCAGTCACACTTTGTCGAGCGTTTGTGGCAACACATCATGTGATAACAGATGTACGACCATTGGGTGCGTATACAATCATTGCCAATATTCACATCGCATGTTAAACAGAACGCTACATGT